CGGAATGTGGCCTCGGCCACGCCTGCGAAAAGAGGGGGAGAGGGTAGGAAATGACCCACGGAGCCTTCGCCAGCGATGCCACCGCTCCCAGCTCCCAAGCTCGCAGGTGGAGCCGCTGTTCCGCCCCCACCCACCCTCTCCTCCACCCACCCATCCCATGCCTTCCCTACCCCCAGGGAATCATTCTGGGACATGGCTGGGGAGACCACTGTGCCTCCCCACAAGGTAACACGCCTGGAAAATCTGCCCCCTCCCTCCTCCGGGAAGGTCCTCTGACTCATCACAGAGGCTTCCTCCTCACTTTAGCCAGTCATCTTTTCAAAGTGCAATCTATCCTTTCCTCCTACTTAAAATCTTCTGCAGTCCCCACGGCCCGCGGGACAAAGTCCAACCTGCCTGGCTCGGGATTCAAAGCTCCTACCCATTTCTTCACCCCATTTCCTGCTGTACTCCTCTGTACTTGTGTTTTGGCTGGTTTTCTAGACCTGGGGCCTTTGCACATGCTCTCCTTCCTGCTTGAAAGGTCCTTCCCTGGGCCCTCTCAGAGTCTGCACGTGCTCCCCTTTTTTAGAAAGACTCTGTCCCCCTGGACCCAGTGGCCCACCACCCTGGGCAGGGGCTGCAAATATTCCTGGCCCTTGGTCCAGAATAAACCATTAGGATCTAACCAGCCTGAGTATCCAGCTCCCTCGGGGGCACACACTCACAGACAAAGCCATCCGGGACCTCCTCACAGGTGGCAGGTGGGAGGCAGGGCTGGCTGGGGCACCAGAGCTGCTGGGCACACGTGGGCCCTGTGAAGTTGTCAGGACAGGTGCAGTGGAAGTCATTCCAGGTGACCAGGCAAGTCCCACCATTGAGACAGGGGTTGGGCTGTGAGACAGTCGGGGCACAGGCTAGCTCAGGCCCTCAGGCAGCACCAGCCAAACCATGACATCACTGCTGTGGCTCTCCACAGAGCAGCTACTGGGGACACGACCTCAAAACCATGTGGAGAGGAGGTCAACACCCTCGAGGTGAGGCCACGTGCTCAGATCACCAGCCAGCAGAGACAGGAAACGGGTCACACTGTGGCCACTCCAGTTCCCGAGTGAGCACTGTTCTTGAACCCACGGGTCCCTCTCCCCCACGCAGAAGGCTCAGGCAGCCTTACATTTAAATCAGGGTGTCCTCAGACAGTGATGGGGGGACAGGCACAGAGACCACCAGAAGGTAAGAGCAGCTGGATAGAGGAGGTGAATGCAAATCTAGCTCTGCCTCTCTAGCCACAGGATCATGGACAGGCCACTGCACCTCCCGAGCCTCAGTTTCCCCATTAGGGAAAGGACATGCTGACCCCCAGTGACCCAGGACAGATCCTGGGTTAAGGTCCCCTCCCAGGCACTCACATTGCATGTGTCCTCGGAGACACAGCCCTCGGTGAGATTCCAGGACTGGCCCAGCTCGCTAAACTGGCTGGAGTCGTCCCGCGGCAGAGGAAAGAGGGGGAGGTGGAGGCCATTGAGCCGCAGGTCCTGGAGGCAGCCTCGGAAGGGGCCGCCCCAAGGCCAGCTGTCAGCAGGGAGAAGCGTCCCGCCCACGTGCACCTGCCGCCCCAGTTCCTGCAGCTGATCAGGCCCGAAGTTGAGGGTCACCAGGTGGGGGCGCCCGTCATTCCAGGGCCCAGGCAGCTCCGCCATGGGGCTGCCCCGCGCCTCAGCGCAGATCTGTCCCTCACTCAGGAAGACGGTCAGGCCAGGCTCTGAGTCATTGGCGAACTGGAGCAGCAGGCCGGTGGGCTCCCGAGTGCGGAGGAAAAAGGACACGGTGAGGTTGGGGCCAGGCAGCCCTTGGAGTAGGAAGGAGGTGGAGCTCGGGGCACCCCCCAAGCCAAAGGTGGCAGCAGGAATCTCTGCAAGGAGAGACGGGGCTGGGTATGAGGCCCGCGGGCTGGGGGAGCCAGGTTTTAGGTGTTGCCTCCCACCCACCTGGCCTCACCATTGGCGCACGTGGGTCCTCTGTACGGCCGGGGGCAGTCGCAGTGAAAGTGAGTCCACAGGTCCACACAGGCACCTCCGTGGGCACAGGGCTGAGGCTGGCACTGCTCATGGTACTCGCAGCCCAGGATAATATTCCCACTGAGGTTGTCCGGGAGCAGAAGGTGCCCATCAACCAGCACATCCTGGAGGCAGCCAGCGAAGGCCGAGCCACCCAGTTGGGCAGAGCAGGGCCCAGAATTCCCAGGGGCAACCAAAGCTGTGGGAACTGGGGCCACAGGACCAGAGGCCACACAGAGCTGGGCAGGGCAACCCTCATGCCAGAGCCGCAGCTCCAGGGTCCCGCGGTGGAGAGCCACCTCCACCTGGTACCAATGGCCATCATTTAGGGCCAGGTCCGGCAGTCTCAGGATGAGCGTGGTGGCACCGAGACTCCAGAGTGTGGCTTGAAGTGTGGCCTGCACCAGTGCCAGTTCCAAGGTGTCCTGGGTATCAATGCGAGTGGCCAGGGCCCCAGCAGGCAGGGTGGTGCGAAACCTTAGTGCCAGGCCCAGGGGACCCCCAGCTGGCACTGATGCCCACACAGGGATCCCGGCCACCACAGAGAAGGTGGTATTCTGGCCACAGTCAGGCCCATGGGTACCAGGCGGGCAGCGACAGGCATAAGTGTGGACCCCAGACTTGAAGATGGGGATGCAGGTGGCAGCCAGGGGGCAGGTGTGGCCCTGGCAGCCAGTGAGCTGCACAGAGCAGTCGTGTCCACCCCAGCTCTCGGGGCACCAGCAGGTGTAGCCAGTCACAGTGTCGTCACAGGTCCCACCGTGGAGGCAGGGCCCCGACAGGCATTCGTCCACGTCTTCCTCACATGCGAGTCCTTCAGGAGAGACAGGCTGAGGCTCAGTAACACCCAGGGCCAGAACCACAGGCTCAGCCCAGAACTTACAAGACTCTTGCGAGGGGGGGACCTCAGTACCTATCAGCCAAACCCGTTCCCGGAGGACTTCTGATCTGCTGAGGTCCCTTTCCTTCCTGTCTGGAGTCTCTACACTCTCCAAGCCCCGGCCCTCCTGTCTTGACAGCTCTGAGCCAGTCAGCACCCTCAGGTGCCTCCCTCCATCCCTCTCCACCAGCAGTCAGAGTCCACTGCTTCCACATCAGCTGGCCAGGCTCCTCTGCAGCTTGACATAAGTCACACACCCTGGCCTTCAACACCCCCATAGCTGGGCTCCAGCGAGCTCTCAAGCCTCAACGCTGCTTCCTAAGAGCCATGAACTCCCAAGCATTTCCTGGGAAGTCCTGCGTCTAGAGCTTTGCTCACACTCCTCTCTGCATGGAATGCCTCAACCTCCCTTACTCTAACTTTCAAACTTATTCATTCTGCAAACTGGGCTCCCCCTCAGGCATAAATATGTCCTTGATGCCCAATAAAGGGCCTCGCACGGCTTCTGTGGACAGAGGTGGAACAGAAGAATGGGGGTGAATTGTGTATCCAGGCCACACTGAATGGCCCCCTTCTCTACCTCACCGTCCCTCTGAGGGACTCTACACCAGCTGTGAAGAGACCACCTAATCCTCCCCACCTGGCCTCTCACCAGGTGCTCAGGCCCCAACTCGAGACCATAATCCAACCGCAGCTCAGCCAGAGCCACTATGAAACAAACCAAGGCCAGCCCTGCCCCCCACATCCCAGCGGGGCAAACCCAGGCCCAGAGAGCCACCAGGATGGGACACCTAGCCCAGTCAGGCCACAGATGCCAGACGCCAGGTGCCTCCAGGGAATCACAGCCACCTGGCCCAACCTCCCCCTGCATGCAACCCTGTCCTCTGTACCTGCCAGGAGCCACAGGGTCCCCAGGAAGGGACGCAGGACACACAGCGCCATGTGGCCCCCACAGACAGCTGAGAGCAGTGGCCACAGAAGCCTGGAGCAGAACTCACACCAGGCAACCCCACCTTCCAGCAGCTCAGGAATGCTGGGCACTGGCCTCCCCCATGCCAGCCCTGCCTAAAGGGAGGCGAGCAAGGAGCCCAGTCCCACAGCTGGGTCCCCTCCGGGCCCTGACCCCAGAGACCCGCCCTGCCTGTCACCCTCAGTTCAGCTGGGAAGGAGCCAGACTGGCCGGTGCCAGCGAGCCTAGAGGATGCTGCCTCTCTCTAGGGCACCATTGCCACCTCTGTAAGAGGGGATGGTGACCCTCTACCTCGTGGGGCCATGCTGAGGAGAAATAAAATGCAGAGTGCTTTTCAGAAGCCAGGCTGGCACTGGGCAGAATAGGGACCTCAGGAGACAGGAGCCCCACTTTTCAGGGCCCTCAAGGGCATGAATCACCTCGGGGTTGGAGTGCTGAGCCACAACATCTTTGATCCCCATAACTTTCCCCAGACAGGAAGCCTGTGCCCGGGGAACCTGCAGGCAGAGCAGGCAGTGTGCCTGGGCAGGAATGAAGGGAGGCGGCAGGGAGGAGGTACTGGCATTCCAGAGGGGCAGGGACACTGGGGAGTGTGTGTCCCCCAGAGCCACCAGTATAACTGTGTGTCTGCATGGACCCAAGAAGGAGAAAAGTCCTACACCCCCACCCCACGCAGCAGGCCAGAGTTTGTCCAGCTCTGCAAAGCTCACCTTCCCCTGTCGTGGCTCAACGGCTCTGTCCTTCCAGAAGCCAAGTGGCCTCAGCTCAGGCCTTTGATGCCAGGGCTGCAGGGCCTCAGCCTGCTCTGAGTCCAGCCCAACCCTCTCTCCCGGGCCCCTGGTGCTAGCATTCCCTTGTGTGGGTGCTAGAGAAACAGCCAACGTGGACAAGGCCACACACACAGTCCCCAGACAATGCCACCCAGGACAACGGCTCTGCCAGCAGCAAGCACCCTCAACACACCCTACTCACACGTGAGGACTGGGAGGTCACGGCTCCTAAACATTTCTCAAATGGATCTGCCAATCCCAGGCCCACTTCCAGAGCCTGGCTCAGCCCAGCCCCCCTCAGCTGTGTCCTGCGCAACGGAACCCACATCTGCCCTCATCTCACAGCAGACAGAAGGGACCTTAGCCACCAGCTCAGACGTCACCCTTCCTGGGGCCCACCCACCCCAGCACCTGTGTAGCCATCCGGGCAATGGCACTGGAAGCCACTGGGCAGGTCCTGGCAGCGGCCACCGTTGAGGCATGGCCCCGAGGCACACTCATCCACATCCACGCTGCAGTCGTCCCCTGCAAGAGACCCATCAGTGGCTCCCACCTTCACCCTCAGGCCAGACCAGAGTTAAGAGTCCATTTTATAGCTAGGGACATTGAGGTCCTGAGAAAGGCACTGACTCAACAAGGTGGCACAAGCTGCCCGCCAGGGCCAGGTCTCAGGCTGGGCTGGAGATCCCTTTCTGGACATCTGAGCATGGCTGGTTGCTTCCCTGGCAGGGGACTCACCCTCAAAGCCTGCGGGACAGCGGCACAGGAAGCCAGCAGCGTGGCGGAAGCTGAAAGCGCCCGGCAGGGTGGCCTGGGCGCCCCCGTACAGGGCTGGGTCGGAGCGCTGCAGGCAGAGGCCGCCATTGTGGGGGGGGTGCGCGGCACACTCGTCCTCATCCACCTCGCACCGCTGGCCGCTAAAGCCTGGGGACGCACACGCTGGCATCAGGTCACAGGACCCAGGTAGCTCCCCTCCACTGCCACCAGGGTGGCCCAGGCCCAGTCACGGTGGACAGCTCTGGGTACAAGTCATTAAGGGGGAGCAGCACTATTAACGCTAGTGTTACTGAGGGGGTGCGCGGCACACTCGTCCTCATCCACCTCGCACCGCTGGCCGCTAAAGCCTGGGGACGCACACGCTGGCATCAGGTCACAGGACCCAGGTAGCTCCCCTCCACTGCCACCAGGGTGGCCCAGGCCCAGTCACGGTGGACAGCTCTGGGTACAAGTCATTAAGGGGGAGCAGCACTATTAACGCTAGTGTTACTGAGCCCTTTGCCTGTGCCGGGACCAGGCCACGCACTTCGCTGCCCTCACTCCTTGCCGCTCTTCACTGCACCCTGAGGAGCAGGTGCTATTATTGTGCAGATCAGGAAACTGAGGCTCACATTGCAGTCACCTGCACAGATGGAAAGCGCCCCGCCACCGCCCGCGCGCACGCTCACACGCACACGCACACGCACGCACCTGGCCAGCAGAGGCAACGGAAGCTCCCGAGG